AAATTTGTATACTAGATCTATCTACCTGGTGCTACGGAACCAAGCAAGCTAAGTAATCAGACGATCGTGTTTACGATTGAGTTTACTCTATAGACATCAGGATCTACAGCCTTGATTTAGCTAGATCTAGAAGTAGAAGAAGATGATTCAGTCCAAACAGGACTATTGGGGAGGTCAGGTCGGGACGGGTCGGTTTGCTCGACAGACTGATGGCGCAAAGTGGCTGCTATCGTGGCACAAATCGATGGCGCCCGACTCGTGAGTCGTTGCCTCAAAAACAAACGCGGCGTTGTTTTCAGGCAACGAGTTGGGCGATCATCCCGACACAATCTCATCCCCGTAGTGCAAAAGAAGTGGCAGATCTAATTTCTGGTATTATTCGATAAGTGCGGCCCTGAAAAGCTGACCGGCATGGCCCAGACCAAAGACTACACTGGAAATGGAAACACAACCATTCACCTCTAACCTGTGTTACCATTTGAGGCTTGGTGAAAATTCTACTAACATACTAAAGAACTTGTTGTTGGGTACAGTGAGTCAAAGAAAGGTGGCTAAGAGTATCCAGTGACCTACAGAGACCTTTTACACTTGGTTTATTAAGAATATTTTTCCAAACTAGTCATCGTGGCTGAGCAGTAACTGTTCTCGATATTTCCTTGAACTAGAGTTGCGTTAACAGCCATACCTCAGGTAAATCTGGTCCTCAGTCAGAATGTGCCCTGAATATCGTTATTATCATAGGAATAACGGGCGTAGTGATGCACTTTTTGTCTCTCCTGTCTTGTTATGAATTCTCTTTTCTCTTTTCACTTTTAATTTGTCTTTTTCGCCCGCTTTTCTAGAAATTTAGATTAACTTCATTTGTGCGCACTCATTTGTCCGTATGCAATTGCGAGCACCGTAAAACCCTTCCTAAACTGGCTTTTCTTTTTTTACCCACTATTCTACCTCTACTCCATCCCTTTCCCTAGTTCTCCCCCTCCCTCCCCCTATCCCTCCTCTTTCAGTTCATTATTTTAAAACTCACATTCCCTGTCTTAAACCACTATTATAATCTTTATCTTTTGTATCAAATCATATTTCTTTTTTTCCTTTCTTATTTTTTTTCGTTGTTTTGAGTCTACACTTGTAGATAAAACATGTTGCTATCTCTCGAAGCGCGTTGTTCAGTATGTATGTTTCTAGGTTAAGGGTGAAATGAAAGCCAACAGTGTCGATGAAACCGATCTTCGAAAAGACCTTGAGTAATGCAAACGTCAGGCATGTCAAAACGAATCCTTTAAGTTGCGGATCAGATTCAGCGGGTGTGTTTCACTTGCGAACCTAAAAACTTCAAGCGACACAGAAACATGACACTTGTGAACCTAAAAACGTCAAACGGCGCCGCAACTTAACACTTGCAAACCTATCTGATATCGGGGCAAATATCGGATTGTGCTCGAATATGCTGCTTTTTCTTTCCTCATTCTTACTATCGTCATTTTCCGATACTTCTTTTGTATGTTTGTCACTCTTCTTGCGAATTGCTATTTCCGGGGTGCCTTGATAGTCGAAGTAGACTTCGTGCGTTGAGGCTAGAGTAAGATTGATTCACCAATTGGACTTCTCTGTTGGCATTCACCCATTGGTGCTCATATGACCTTATGCAGTTGCGAGCGCCTTTATACCTTATTAAAATAAACAAACGAAGGTGGAATTTTTAAAAATCTCTGCTAACTTGACCCTGTTCTTACATGGAATGCATTGAAATCGGATGCCCCTTGTCTCTTTAATCGGCGGGCAGAGTGAAAGTGATAACCCAAACATTACTTCAATGATTAACAACTTTGGAAGAATTGACAACAAATTAGGAGGAATTAACACTGACAACAGATTTTGAGAAATACACCCTGATATCACATTTTGAGAAATTCAAATCGAAAACAAATTTTAAGAAATTCCTATAGTCAACAAAAATTATATGTGGAATAAGTCAAACACAACGAAAATACATTTTGAGGAATTCACACTGAGAACGAAAGAATTTGGTTTTTGTAAAAAGCTTTTAATACGCAAGAGTTCAGTCTGCTGTAGGGTCAACATCTTGTGAGGCTACCTTACTTCAACAGGACATTGCATAATGTAATATCATAATATTCCAGAGTATTAGCGGCACTTACAAAACACATAGGTCATTTAAGTGCCGAAGATTAGATGCGTTAGTAGAGAGTAACATACAAAGAAATTAAGGCGAGATAAAGACGATGCAAGTGTGATAGGAGAGAAGGAGCAGCTGTGAGTGTTATCGGGTAAACCTGTTAGTCTTAAAATAAGAAAGTAAAGATAATGATAAGACCTATACTGTCGACTGGTGTCTTCTCCGTCAAAATATCTAAAGCTAAAGCATTGATTAATCAAAGATAATAAAATTACAGTAATATCATTGACCTTGACCGATTGCGATTAGTTAGACACTGTTCTCAAAGCAATTATAGTCACTGTGTAAAGATTGTTTCTCTAGGGCTGTTGCTCCACAGACAAATTCTTGCAACATAACTGTAAGCTCAAGTAATAGACACAATGAATACTTACAGAACCTGAATCTGTCATGCAAAAGTGGTACATGCTTTCAGACACACATGAAAATAGATGGATAGATGAATAAATAGATATATAGATAGATAGATAGATAGATAGATAGATAGATAGATAGATAGATAGATAGATAGAGAGATAGAGAGATAGATAGATAGATAGAGAGATAGAGAGATAGAGAGATAGATAGAGAGATAGAGAGATAGAGAGATAGAGAGATAGATAGAGAGATAGATAGATAGAGAGATAGATAGATAGATAGATAGATAGATAGATAGAGAGATAGATAGAGAGATAGAGAGATAGAGAGATAGAGAGATAGATAGAGAGATAGAGAGATAGAGAGATAGATAGATAGATAGATAGATAGATAGAGAGAGAGATAGAGAGATAGAGAGATAGAGAGATAGAGAGATAGAGAGATAGAGAGATAAGAGAGATAGAGAGATACAGCCAGCCAGAGAGCGCTCACTACAGTGTCCCACTACCTTTTTTGACACCCGGAACATTTACACATTAGAACAGTTTACTACGGTACTTGCTTAGTATACCATAGCTCATTTGGATATTCCAATGTACTCTTTCACTCGGTCTGCGAGCCCGTTTCCAGCTAGCGCCTCTTCAAAGAACTTGTCAAACCTCTCATTCTGGTCCACTGTGAATCTTTTCTTCCATTGTTGTGTTTTGCCGGAGACCATTGCCATGGTCTCTCCTTCCTTCATCAAAATCTTGTCTGCTTCCTTTTCTTTCTCCTTCGTTCCAATCTTCATGTTCTCGAAGGAAGTGGCTGTTGCAATCTCCTCCGTTAGAGTGTCCGGTCGACCCAGAAAACGGCAAAGATCAGCAATGACGTCCTTGGGCTGCTCTTTAAGTTTCTCAAACTGGACCACAAAAACTGGCACATTCGGGTTTTCTTTCATGAACTTCTCCCACGCTAGGACGTGCTGGAACCAGGAACCCCAGCAAAATTCGCCAGTCAACTGAAACGAAAATAAATGCCAGAAAATTTGTTCAACGCTGTGGGATAAGTCAATTGTGAGCAGGGGCAAAGACTGACATGTTTGATAGGGTTATCACAGTGTGTCAAAGTACAAAGATTTCCTTTGGTTTTTTTGTAAAGAGAAGCACATCGACACAATAATGGTCACATGATAGAGATAGACCCACATGCACACAGTCTCTCCACAGTAAGATCGTAGTCGACAAAACGTTTCGCCCAAGACGGTATGACTTGTATGTTAATGAAAACAAAATCTGAAATCATTGGGTACACCTAACAAATTTTCAAAAAAGAGAAATATTATCTTATTTAATGTCTATTCCGACTTTGATCCAAATGCAAACTAACTTTTTAATCTCCGGTAGTCATAATGGTCTCTATATTTGCTAATGTAAATTAAAGTAAAATGTTTATACACTGACTGAAAGAAAAGAAGCAGAGATGACAATACTATTATTAATTCGGTTTCATGTTTGACAGCCTAGGTCTAGAATTTTGTTGTCAGGAGTTGATGCAATGAGCGTACTATGACCAGATTACAGGTTGGTTAAAAAGTTTAGGGAATATGTCACACACGGACAGCAACCAATGGACCAGTCTAATTGTTATTATAAGTCATACTAAGGGTGCTGTGACTGCTTATGAGATTTGCCCAAAATGCTGAAAGATGGTACTGGTGGCGATCAAACAAGATCGACTGCTGTGCCCAAGGCGTATTGGTGAGAATAAACACACCAATAACAAAAGTTATAAAAGTTAGCCTAAACCATAGTACCTTGAACCTTCATGTCAATAGTAAACGTCAAAGAGTTAACAAGTCATAGCAGTATTTTTTCTTCTTAAAACGGGTCCATAGACTGAGATATAGAAATGCGAAGCTAAAAAAAACTAACACCGTTACGTATCAGCTCGCACCCCTTCTAAAATGTATCTCTTCCAATCATCTCCAAGGACACAAAGAGACAGCTTTTCACTTCAATATGTATGCCAACATTAAGCAACCAGAGATAGACCTGGAAATTAAGTAAAACCCATGAAAGTAAAATCAATGCAAGGGAGATTGACTATCTTCGCAAAGCCCTTAACATTACAAGACGAGACAGACAGAGAAATGCAGACTTAAGAACCCAAGTACTCAGGGCATAAAGGAGAGGTAGACCACGAAAAAGTAGGATTGAGGGAGTAAGGGAACCCTGAAAAATTATACCATCTAAATAGAACGAGCCGCAGAGGTGGCCTAAAATAGAAAACTTCACCTCCCCTCAACGCTCACAAAGAGTGGATTTTTAAAAAACTAACAGTAGATGTTTCCAAATTATGGAACGCAAACAATGATCATTTAGTCTTGTCAACACTTTGCCCCTGACTGTGAGATGAAATATGGAAACAAAATAAATAAAGAGAAGTGTTGAAAGGTATTTTCCTCTACGACCACAAGGTCAAGGCACAGAGTTTATTCGCGTGTGTGTGCACATCTTTTTGTGTGTATATTTGCGTGTGAGAGGAGAGAGAGAGAGAGAGAGAGACAGAGACAGAGAGACAGACAGACAGAGAGAGAAAGAGACAGAGAGCGAGAGAAAGAGAGAGAGAGAGCGAGAGAAAGAGAGAGAAAGAGGGAGATAGAGGGGGGCAGAGAAAGAGAGAACGTAAACAAAGCAACAACAACAATATTAATAATAATAACATATAATGATGTTGATGATGATGATGATGATGATGATGATGATGATGATGATGATATAATAATAATAATAATAAAATAACGACCTGTAACTCAAAGAACTCATCCCAACTGCCGTAGAAGCAATCACCGTCGTTATTGAGAGATGTCGTCAGTTTGTACCATGAAGCCAGAGTGTCTTTGGGGTTCCTTAGAATGTACACAAACTTGACCGGTTTTTTCAGGACATCTCGAGGCAGTCTGTTGGGGTGGATGTGGGTGATGATTATCCTCGGTTCTGGGATAGCCTGGAACTTTTCGTGTACTTCAATCCCCATGATTTCCGGAAAACGACTGTGGAAGTAAAAGTCCGTGAATGTTGCTGTTTGACGGAGAATCATACTCAGGATTTCAGACACCCAGTGGTTCCCAGAACGCATAAAGCCGATAAGAAAGACGTCATCGTCCTTGAGCTTGACGTCGGAGATCTGACGAAACATTTCTTCGAAATCCGAGACGAAAGTGCTGCCAAGGTAGGGAATGCCGTCTTTCTCATATGTTTTCATAACACGGAACTGAGCACGAGCTGACTCCAGCACCTCTGGATTGGACAATGGCTTCACTGACGTCACTCGGTCCATCTTTTGGATGTGTGCTCTCTGAAGACTCTTGCTGAAAGATGGTTTTAAAAAAGAAATAAATAAAAAATTTGATGAGTACGACCCACGAAACATTTGTTTTCTTTTTTTTTTTTATTGTGTGGGGTGTTTTAAATCCCGGAAAAGTGCAATGACATTAGAGCTCATTTTGAAACGGCAGGGAACCTTCAGGAAATGTAAAAAAATCATTGAGGTGTCTGTGACTTTTAATGCACATTTATTTGGTTTTTTCTTTTCATAGGTGGTATGTCTGTGTAAACTGGAACGATGAGTCGGAGTGACAGAACTGATTTCTACGTGCACATCCTCACAGTGACTTCATCCACGAACTTGCACCCAAAGAAACACACACGCACACATACACACACACACACACGCACATATACACACATACACGCACACATACGTACATACACACACGCACACACACACACACACACACACACACACACACACACACACACACATACATTAGAAACCTGTGACGGCAGTGGAACGGGTTCATGTAACATTGTCACCCGATATGTAACCCGTGGGGTTTCTACGAGCGCCGTAAAAGACACACACACACACACACACACACACACACACACACACACACACACACACAAATTCAGCCACTTGAATATTCGACCAGGGCAAAGATGGGTTCACTGGTTATAGGGTTTTTTTAAAAAGGGTTTTACGGCGCTCGCAACTGCACAAGGTCATATGAGCGTGCAGGACACGTTAAACATTTTTCAGTTGGTAGGATTTTTTAAATTTTGCCCCGGTGGCGGCCGAAGTCAACTCTATCAATTTTAGACCACCTTAAGGGATCTTTAACATGATATGCGCAACTTGCACACGCCCCCCCCCCCCCCGAGATTTTTCGCCCTTGTCCGAGGAGGCGAGTGGTAGATCTTTCCTCCCAAAAGATCAGGAATGTTTCTGAAAGACAGCAGTAAAAAAGAGCCAATGAGTAGCAGTAGAAAGACTGCAGAAAGAGTCAGGAGCGCAGAGGATGGGGCAAAGGAGTTGAGGGGGTGCGGGCAGAAAGAGAAGACGAAAAAAAGATGACAGAACATTGTTAGAGTAGAGAGTAGGAGGTGAAAGGTGACAATTTTTAGAGAAGAAGATTATTCGGTTGCAACCCGGATTTGAACCCGGAACCTTTGAATGAGAAGCGAACGCCTCAATCTCTAGGCGCCATAGACTCCCCCCCCCCCCCCCCCCCCCCCCGGGTTCTCTGCGTTTGAGCTCTCATAAAGATAACACTGGTAAGAAAAAAAAACGTGCAACATTGCTGGGGGATAGGTCAGCAGCACCGAATAATGAACTCACCCAGCTCATTTGCATATGAGCTGGGCCACGTGACTTTGTCTCTGTGTGTATGCGTCTGGCTGCGCGTGATTGTAAGTGCTATTCGTGAGAATAGTCTCAGAATACGTTGGGTCGAGTGTGAGATTGCTGGTCTTATACATTGAGCCTAAGTAAGGCAACCATTTGTTTCTTTATTAATAAAATATATGCATTAATAAAAAACAAGCGTCTCGGTGCTGCTGTTTTTAACAGATGTTTGTAAAGAATAATAATATCCGCGAGAGAGAGAGAGAGAGAGAGAGAGAGAGAGAGAGAGAGAGAGAGAGAGAGAGAGAGAGAGAGAGAGCGAGAGAGAGAGAGAGAGAGAGAGAGAGAGAGAGAGAGAGAGAGAGAGAGAGAGAGAGAGAGAGAGAGAGAGAGAGAGTTTCACGGCATGTGTCACATATTAGGTCATGTATGTGCCGAGAGTAAGAGGTGTTACTAGAGAGTAATAAACAAAAATTATTTTTTTTAAAGTATTTTCGAAAATCCAAATAAAATTAATTTATGTCTGTTAAGTTTGAGTAAAGAGAGGCTAATTGACACAATGATGGCCATAATTTAGTGCTCGGAAAATGTAAGACAGGCAGATAGACAGACAGACAGACAGACAGACAGACAGACAGACAGACAGACAGACAGACAGACAGACAGACAGACAGAAACAACAGTGGGAAAGTAAAAAAAAAGTAGGGCATATTTCTGTGGTGCCCTCAAATCACCCGCTAAGAGATAAGTAGAGGTTTTTAAAAAATGTATTCAGTGGAAGAAAATGGCAGTTCCAAAGAACTCAACGCCGTTGTTCAACATGTAGGGGGCCTAGTAAGTCAATAATAAAGAACATTGAGTATGTTTTAGAGTGTTTAGAGTCTTACTATACATCGATTAGTTGTAGTCTTACACCTCTTATCTTTATAAAAGTAACAGACTTAGACAAATTATACTTTTTTTAAAATCGAGATAGTTTCCTTAACAAAATAGAACGATCTATCTATCTATCTATCTATCTATCTATCTGGGTTTTTTTGTTTTTTTGTTTTTGTAAAGTGTTTTACGGCGCTCGCAACTGCATAGGTCATATGAGCGCGCGGGACACTCCTAATGTTTTCAGTTGGTAGGACATTTTGAATTTTGCCCGGGTGGTGGCCGAGGCCTACTCTTATCGATTTTGACCACCAAGGGATCTTTAACGTGCGCAACTTGCACACGGGCCCTCCGAGATTTTTCGCTCTTGTCTGAGAAGGCTAGGTGTAGATCTTTCCTACCAGAAGATCAGGGGTGTGGCAGAAAGACAGCAGTAAGGAGGAGCCAAGGAGTAGCAGTAGAAAGGCTGCAGAAAGAGTCAGGAGCCCAGAGGAGGGGGCAAAGGAGGTGAGGGGGTGGGGGCAGAAAGTGGAAATGAAAGCAGACAACAGAACATTGCTAGAGAGCAGGAAAGGAGGTGAAAGGAGACATTTTTAGAGAAGAAAATTTTTCGGTCGCTACCCGGATTCGAAGCCGGGACCTTTGAATGAGAGGCCAACACCTTAACCTCTAGGCCACGACAGCCCCCTCTATCTATCTATCTGTCTGTCTGTCTGCCGGTCTGCTTGCCTGCCTGCCTATCTGTCTTTCTGTCTGTCTGCCTGCCTGCCTGCCTGCCTGTCTGTCTATTTGCCTGTCTGTCTGTCTGTCTGTCTGTCTGTCTGTCTGTCTGTCTGTCTGTCTGTCTGTCACGGTAATGCATTCATACATAAATAGCCACGTGAACAAGTTTGACAAAAGGAAGCAATTAAGCACTTATTCCGAACGAATTCTACATTTTTTAGGTTTTCACATTTTTACTTACGATACTTTGAACAGAACACCAACACAGCCTTGGCTCGTGTCGTTCCTCTTCTCTGCACACAGGAACCTGTGGAAATGCAACTGTAGATCTACAACGACAGTTGCCTTGATCCCAGCTTGGTTTGTAACATGTGTTTTGTATTACTTTTTATGATTGTGTTACGTCTTCGCTGCAGCATATGTGTGCAGGGGCGTTGCTTACGTCTACACCACGCACGATAAAGCGCTGCGCACTAGTAAAATTGTAAATACATTTCAAAGGGTGTCCTTGGGGAATTCTTTTCACTTCTATACGTAACTACGATTCGGCGCTATAGGGAGCTGGCTCATTCATTTGAGAAAAAAAAAGAATGTTTCAGCGTGGTTGCGAGTAATTTAAAAGATGCATTATTTGTTCTACCTGTGGTTTACTGTATCGCCTTCCGTGTTATGTGTTTATTACATCGCCTTGGAAGAAACAAGATGGGTCATTATAGAGCTCGAGCATCAATCACTCTACTGCACCTGTTATGAGCTCTCTTATGTAGCTAAGTGATACCGTGGATATGCTAAGTGAGGGATGAGCCAGGTTCGAATTCTCAGTGGGTAGGTTCTCTAACTTTGATTGAAGAGTTATTGAAGTAAAAGTAGATTTTGCGAGACGCTTTACCTTAGGGCTCGCCCACTTAGTGGAACATTTTGTAAGACGAATGCTGCGGCCTTAATAACACCTTTCTTACTTTCTTCCTCTTAAATATTTTTTTTCCAAAATTTGTTTTGTTTTGTTTTTATAGGGTTTGAATTTTAAATAGAAACCCAAACTTACATTTTTTTTCCTATTTGTTTGTTACGATCTCTTTCTTTCCACATCCAGAATCTTGAAAATTCATCCAATGGCTTTTGTCAAACTATAACCTTTGGTTTTCTCCCTCCCCCGCCCCCTCTATCCTATTAAACATCTTCTGTTATTCAATCCTTTAAAGCGTGCATTATCAGAATACCATTGAGGTTCTATCAAAATACTGATCTAGTTTAACACATTTAATGTGTCATTGTTCATTTTTTATTCTGTATTTGACGGTGAGCCTGTTTGTGAGTGCAAGCATGCTATCGTATTATTATGGTTATGTGCACAGATGTGTGTGGAGAAGATATGTGAGAGTGTGCGCGCGCGCACGTGTGTGTGTGTGTGTGTGTGTGTGTGTGTGTGTGTGTGTGTGTGTGCGTGCGTGTCTGTGTTTACGAGTGCATGCACGTGCGTGCACATGCTCGTGTGTGCGTATTAGTGTGTGCGCGCGCGTGTGTGTGTACGTGAGTGTGTATGTGTGTTTGTGTGTGTGTGTGTGTGTGTGTGTGTCTGTCTGTCTGTCTGTCTGTGTACAGTTAAACATCAAAATCCAAAGTGCCAGGATCTGGACAATAAAGATTTATCTTAGCATACTTTATCTTATCCTCTCGTTTCCTTCTTCCCTTTGTATATCACTCTCTAGCAACACCTCCAAACGTCAGCACTTACATGACCTAATTGTGGAACAAGTCCCGTAACACTCTTTCTAAAACTAAACTAATTCTCGTCGTATTACCCAAACACTAGAGTTTGATAATGATCAATAGCTTCAGTTCACTATTTAAAAAAATGATTGACTTGTATGCTAGAAGGGGTTAAGCTTTTTCAGGCCCCTACCACGTACTAAGTACCGCCTAATCGGGAGGGAAAAAGAAACAGGACCACCGACCACATTATCACCATGCTCCACGCCACTGTCATATTTTATTCGTCTCTTCTTCAGGGAAATAAAAAAAACGTGTCTTTCAGTTTTTTCCTGTTGCAAATTTAATATGGTTGTGTTATATCTCGGCCATGGTTTGCATTCTCAATCATGGCCATGTCTAGACGATGTTTCAAGCAAGAAACCTTTGAGAGATCTGCATAAAACGGTAAGTGAACTCGTGTTCATCAGAGCGACACGAAACGACAGATCAAATGTCTCAAGAAGCAAGGACGCAGTGTCCTCATAGATTTGTATTGCTAAACCACGCACTGTCAAGGCCGCCACTCTTCGCTCTACAAAATAACCCCCCCCCCCCAAAGTGTGCGCCAAATGGGTTTATCCCTAGACGGTCATATAATCAGGCCACCTGCGAGCTACTGACCTAGATTCCTTGTGGGCTGACACACCCGTGTAGTAGGCCCACAACCTTGTAGATCATTAGTAGTGATAAGCCTACGCAGGGTGCGGCGGTCAGTTTGAATTGTTGTTTGCTCATGCTTTGACATTGGATTATTTCTGCCTAATGCAGTTTGCTTTTCAAGTCATCTGG